CCTCTGCCTCCTGGGTTCTAGCAATTCTTCTGCCTCGGCCTCCCAAGTAGCTCGGATTACAGGCATGTGCCACCATGCCCAGCTAATTTTGTATTTTTTTTATTTGAGTAGAGACGTGGTTTCTCCACGTTGGTCAGGCTGGTCCTGAACTCCTGACCTCAGGTGAACTGCCCACCTTGGCTTCCCAAAGTGCTGGGATTACAGGCCTGAGCCACCGCGTCCAGACTTTTTTTTCTTTTTTTTTTTAAGAGATGGGATCTGGCCCGTGGCCCAGGCTGGCGTGCAATCGTGTTATCATAGCTCACTGCAGCCTCAACCTCCTGGGCTCAAGCAGTCCTCTCACCACAGCGGGCTGGTGCCATGTGTTGTCCCACTCAGTGGGCATGTGCCCCCACGCAGGTAGGAGAATCTGGGCCTTAGTCAATTTGTGCTGCTTTTTTTTTTTTTTTTTTTTTTGAGACGGAGTTTCACTCTTGTTACCCAGGCTGGAGTGCAATGGCGCGATCTCGGCTCACCGCAACCTCCGCCTCCCGGGTTCAGGCAATTCTCCTGCCTCAGCCTCCTGAGTAGCTGGGATTACAGGCACGCACCACCATGCCCAGCTAATTTTTTGTAGTTTTAGTAGAGACGGGGTTTCACCATGTTGACCAGGACGGTCTCGATCTCTTGACCTCGGGATCCACCCGCCTCGGCCTCCCAAAGTGCTGGGATTACAGGCTTGAGCCACCGCGCCCGGCTTGTGCTGCTTTAAGGGACTACCCAAGGCTAGGTGATTTATAAAGAAAGAAACTTATGGCTGGGTGCAGTGTCTCACACCTCTAATCCCAGCATTTTGGGAGGCCTAGGTGGGCGGATCCCTTGAACTCAGGAGTTCAAGACTAGCCTGGCCAACATGGCGAAACCGTGTCTCTACTAAAAATACAAAAATTAGCCAGGCATGGTTGTGGGCACCTGTAATCCCAGCTACTCAGGAGGCTGAGGCAGGAGACTCGCTTGAAACCGGCGGGCGGGGGTTGCAGTGAGCGGAGATCAAGCCACTGCACTCCAGCCTGGGCGACAGAGTGAGACTTGGTTTCAAATAGGGCGCGGTGGCTCACGCCTGTAATCCCAGCACTTTGGGAGGCCGAGGCGGGTGGATCACCAGGTCAAGAGATCGAGACCATCCTGGTCAACATGGTGAAACCCCGTCTCTACTAAAACTACAAAAAATTAGCTGGGCATGGTGGCGCGTGCCTGTAATCCCAGCTACTCAGGAGGCTGAGGCAGGAGAATTGCCTGAACCCAGGAGGCGGAGGCTGTGGTGAGCCGAGATCGCGCCATTGCACTCCAGCCTGGGTAACAAGAGCGAAACTCCGTCTCAAAAAAAAAAAAGAAAAGAGAGGGGGGCAGGGAAGAGGCTGGGTGTGGTGGCTCACATCTGTAATCCCAACACTTTGGGAGGCTGAGGCAGGAGGACTGCTTGAGACCAGGAGTTGGAGACCAGCCTGGGCAACCTAGAGACCAAAAAAAAAAAAAAAAAGGTGGGGATGGGCAGGAAGGAGGTGCCGGGCTCTTAAACAACCAGTTCTCATGGACGCTAGGCTGAAAACCCACTCAGTACCACGAAGATGGCTCTAAGCCATTCACAGACGATCGGACCTTGTGGCCTAAACACTTCCGACTAGGCCCCCTCCAACACCGGGGATCCACTTTCAGCAGGAGCTTTGGAAGGAGGAAATATCCAAACCAGCCAGGCGCGGTGGCTCATGCCTGTAATCCCAGCTTTGGGAGGCCGAGGCAGGTGGATCACCTGAGGTCAGGAGTTCGAGACCAGCCTGACCAACATGGAGAAACCCTGCCTCTACTAAAAGTACAAAAAATTAGCCGGGCGTGGTGGCACATGCCTGTAATCCCAGCTACTCAGGAGGCTGAGTCAGGAGAATTGCTTGAACCCGGGAGGCAGAGGTTGCAGTGAGCTGAGATCACACAACTGTACTCCAGCCTGGGCAGCAAGAGAGAAGCTGCATCTCAAATATCCAAACCATAGTAAGGCGTCTCACTGCACCCAGCATGGGGGAGCTCCTTGCCACGTGAGTGCACGCTTCTGTGTGTTTTCTAAGACCTGACCCCTCAAATGCAAGTCCGGTTCAGAGCTGAGACCTAAACTGGTGCTTCTAGGCTTGCTAAGGGGCAGTGCGTCTGGAACCTGCAGAGGACACAAGGGAAGGTCATCTGAGTCTATACCAGCTGCTATCATGAAATATCTTAAACTGGGCGATTTATTAGTTGCTGCAAGAGTAATCATGGTTTTTGCCATTGTAATGGGCGCAGTGGCTCGCCCCAGTAATCCCTGCACTTTAGGAGGCCTAGGCTGGCGGATCACCTGAGGCCAGGAGTTCAAGACCAGCCTGGCCAACACGATGAAACCTGTCTCTACTAAAAGTACAAAAAAGAAAAAGCTGGGTTTGGTGGCGGGTGCCTGTCATCCCAGCTACTTGGGAGGCTGAGGCAGGAGAATTGATTGAACTTGGGAGGCAGAGGATGCAATGAGCCGAGATTGTGCCACTGCACTCCAGCCTGAGCAACAAGAGTGAAACTCCATCTCAAAAAAAAAAAAAAAAGAAAAGAAAGAAAGAAATGGCAAAAACCGTGATTACTTTTGTACTGATCTAATTTAAAGAGCAGACATTTGGCCAGGCTTGGTTGCTCACACCTGTAATCCCGGCGCTTTGGGAGGCTGAGGTGAGAGAGGCACTTGAGGCCAGGAGTTTGGAACCAGCCTGGGCCACACAGCAAGACCATATCTCTACAAAAAATTAACAAATGAACCATGTGTGGTGGCGTGTGCCCGTAATCCCAGCTACTCAGGAGGCTGAGGTGGGAGGATTGCTTGGGCCCAGAAGGTGGAGGCTGCAGTGAGTCGTGATCACATTACTGCACTCCAGCCAAAAAATTAACCAAAATGGGAGGTTCCAGCATCATCTGGGCCCACCTCAGACGCCACCTCTACCCACTCTCATGGACGATCCCCATTTGCAAAAAAGAAACAGGCTGTGAAGGGTTGGGGGTCTGGGCAGGAACTCACAGACTCCCTGTCTCTGCTTCCTGGTGTCTTGAAGGGAATTCTACGACCCCAGCTTCCAGGGGCAGCCGTCCTCCCAGGACCTGCGTGTGCCCTACTCCTACAGTCAACTGGGCTGTCCGCTCCTCGTCTACTACGACACCCCATGGAAGCCCGTGGTGGAGCTGTAAGACCCCAGGGGCTACTGCAGGGTGGGGACGGTGGCAGGACCGCATGCTCCCTGGCTCTGGGGTACCAGCCTGGCCCTCCAGGTTCCCCTAGATCCCTCAAAATGATGGCGGTCACTGTTTCCCACTGTGCTCCCGCCCCAGCCTTCTCCCCGGGACACCTTTTCTTTTTGTGAGACAGGATCTCACTCTGTTGCCTAGGCTGGAGTGCTGTGGCACAATCTCAGCTCACTGCAACCTCCACCTCTCAGGCTCAAGCAATTCTCCTGCCTCAGCCTCCCGAGTAGCTGGGACTACAGGTGCGCACCACCATGCCTGGCTAATTTTGTATTTTTAGTAGAGACAGGGTTTTGCCATGTTGCCCAGGCTGGTCTTGAACTCCTGAGCTCAGGGCATCCATCCACCTCAGCCTCCCAATGTGCTGGGATTACAGGCGTGGGCCAGCGTGCCGGGCCCTGAGTGGACTTTCGTTTCCTCTCTGTTATCCATGCTCAGTGCTGGCTGCTGCCCATCTCCCTGTCCACCCAGCTCTGTCTCCCAGCCTCCCTGCAGCCTGCACACCGCAGCCTCACCTGGGAGCGACAGGGGTTCTTTGGTTTGCTCCCTGCCACCTCCCCACCCCATGAGTGGTTTCGTAGCCGTCCAGGTGGCTGTGGCCTGGGTCTTCCTGGGTTGACCCCGCTCCCCACGCAGCTCTGCCCTGTATGCGTCTCCTAGGTGGCGAAAAGACACTTTCCAGGAGATTGTCGACGCTGAGTATGTGTTACTGGAGGTGAATGGGCAGTTCTCCTACAGGTATTCCCTGACGGCCCAGTCGGCGCTGTGCACCTCCCAGCCACAGAACTGGACCACCATGATAAAGGAATTCGGGATGCCCTTCCTCTGGAACAGAGAGGTAATAGGACCCTAGGATCGTTTCAGAAGAATCAGCATGCCACCAGGGGGTGGGAGCGTGCGTGAGGGACATGGTGCAGCCATGGAACTGAGTATGGAATGAAAGACTGGGCCGGGCGCGGTGGCTCACACCTGTCATCCCAGCAGCTTGGGAGGCCTAGGCGGGCGGATCACCTGAGCTCAGGAGTTCAAGATCAGCCTGGGCAACGTGGTGAAACCCCATCTCTCAGCCTGGCATGGTGGTGAGCGACTATAATCCCAGCTATTCGGGAGGCTGAGGCAGGAGAATCGCTTGAGCCCAGGAAGAGGAGGTTGCAGTGAGCCGAGATCTCGACACCGCACTCCAGCCTGGGCCACAGAGGGAAATGCAGGCACCAAGGTGCTCAGGGGCTTTGCTGATGAAGAGGGAAGTCTGGGACCATCCCAATGGTTGCTGCTGAGGCGTGGATGGGTTTCCCACGCTGTCCTACTCAGCGTGCATTCGTTTTTAATTTTTTTTAGACAGAGTCTTGCTCTGTCCCCCAGGCTGGAGTGCAGGGGCACAGTCTCAGCTCACTGCAGCCTCATGGCTCAAGTGATCCCCCCACCTCAGCTTCCCAATTACCTGGCACTACAGGTGTGTGCCACCATGCCCTGCTCATTTCTAATTTTTTGCTTGTTTGTTTGTTTTTGTAGAGACAGGGTTTCACTATGTTGCCCAAGCTGGTTTTGAACTCCTGGGCTCAAGCGATCCTCCCACCTCGGCTCCCCAAAGCGCTAGATTATAGGCATGAGTGACCACACCCCGCCTCAGTGTGTATTTCTTTTCTTTTCTTTTTTTTTTCAGACACAGTCTTGCTCTGTCGCCCAGGCTGGAGTGCAGTGGTGGGACCTCTGCTCACTGCAACCTCCACCTCCCAGATTCAAGTAATTTTCCTGCCTCAGCCTCCTGAGTAGCTGGGAACTACAGGCACCTGCCACCACACCAGCTAATTTTTTTTGGTGAGACGGGGTCTCACCATGTTGGCCAGGCTAGTCTCAAATTCCTGACCTTAGGTAACCCCCACGTCAGCCTTCCAGTGAGGTGGGGTTACAGGCATGAGCCACCGTGCCCAGCCTTATTGTTTATTTATTTATTTATTTTTGAGATGGAGTCTCAATCCGTCACCCAGGCTGGAGTGCTGTGGCGCAATCTCTGCTCACGGCAACCTCCCCCTCCCGGGTTCAAGCCATTCTCTTGTCTCAGCCTCCCAAGTAGCTGGGATTACAGGCGTGCGCCACCACGCCCAGCTAATTTTTGTATTTTTAGTAGAGACGGGGTTTCACCATGTTGGCCAGGATGGTCTTGAACTCCTGACCTCAAGTGATCAGCCTGCCTCACCCTCCCAAAGTGCTGGGATTACAAGCGTGAGCCACTGTGTTCAGCCTGGATTTTCTTTGTTAAATGCACAGCCTGAAGCTCTCCTCCTCACACCCAGCCCAATTAACCGTTTTAAAGACTGCAACCCTGTGACAGCTGGTGCACTGACGGCCTTGTCCAACCACCACCTCTTTGACTATTTTTTGAAAGAGAAAGCTGTCTGGGCGCGGTGGCTCGTCCCTATAATCCCAGCACTTTGGGAGACTGAGGCAGGTGGATCACTTGAGGTCAGAAGATCAAGACCAGCCTGGCCACTGGTCTTGAACACAAAAAATACAAAAATTTGCAGGACGCGGTGGCAGGTGCCTGTAATCCCTGCTACTTGGAAGGCTGAGGCAGCAGAATTGCTTGAACCTGGGAGGTAGAGGTTGCAGTGAGCTGAGATCACACCACTGCATCCAGCCTGAGGGACAGAGCAAGACATTATCTGGAAAAAAAAACCAAAACTCATTGGCAGCGCCCGACTCTCACCCAGACTTAGTAAGCCTCCAGCCTCCACGCCCGGGAAGGCCGGGAAGGAGGCAGGGGAGATGGAGGCTGAGCAGCCTCCGTCCACAGCCTCCTCTGCAAGGAGCATGAACCTGCCCACACCATCGGCGCTTGGCCCCAGACTCCCACCATGCACTTCTCATGAGGACTGGGGTGGGCGCAGGGTCTCTGCACGCAGGAGGGAGGCTCAGGGCTCCCTTCCAGCCCCCAGGACCAGTGGGCACGCCTCTGTCTCCCACAGAACTACGTGAGCTGCCACGACTCCAACAGGAATGCTACTTTGAGATGGCCAGATGTCCAGTATCAGATCTTGGGTGGTCGGACAACAAACCAGATAATTTTCAGCCACAACAACGGCATCTATATCTTCTACATTTCTATTGTGGACCCGTACTACAGGTGAGGGGCTGGTGGATCACTTGAGGTCGGAAGATCAAGACCAGCCTGGCCAACGACAGGGGACACCTGGTGTCCCGGGAGGCAGGTCACCCATGCTGGTCCTGACTAAACCTGAACACCCCCAGCAGCCCAGGCCATCCCCAGGACAAGCGATGTTTTAAGTTCCGGGTGACATTTCTTCCCGTGTGAAACAAAAACAAATACTCCTTTTTTTTTTTTTTTAGATGGAGATTTGCTCCTGTCGCCCAGGCTGGAGTGCAGTGGTGCGATCTCCACTCACGGCAACCTCCGCCTCCCGGGTTCAAGCGATTCTCCTGCCTCCACCTCCCGAGTAGCTGGGATTACAGGCATGTGCCACCACGCTTGGCTAATTTTTGCATTTTTAGTAGAGACAGGGTTTCACCATGTTGGCCAGGCTGGTCTCGAACTCCTGACCTCAGATGACCCACTGGCCTTGGCCTTCCCAAGTGCTGAAATTACAGGCGTGAGCCACCACACCCGGCCACAAATACTCATTTCAGAGTCCCACACTGGGTGCTGGGGGAACAGCAGTGACCTGAGGCTGCACCCCTGCCCCAGTGCACCCAAGTCACCCTCTCTTGCTCCCCATGTCTGGGGTGTGCTGATAGACGGGAGAGCTGGCTCAGACTGGCTTGTAGGAGTAGACTGAAATATTCAGGAATCTCCAGCCCAACGTGGTGACTCCATCTCTACTAAAAATACAAAAATTAGCTGGACATGGTGGCAGGTGCCTGTAATTCCAGCTACTAGGGAAGCCGAAGCAGGAGAGTCGCTTGAACCCGGGAGGTGGAGGTTGCAGTGAGCCGAGATTGCCCCACTGCACTCCAGCCTGGGCAACAGAGCAAGGCTCCATCTTAAAAAAAAAACAAAACAAAACGGGAATCTTACACCAGTCAATTTCATGTCAGTGGCTTGAAATCAGCCACAGTGGAAATATTTATGCAACAAGAATTAGCAGACACTACCCAGGGGCCTTGCCCCTCTGAGAGCCAGTTAAATATTTAGCAGTGACGGGCGCTGAGGGAATTATAAAGCCAGGTCTAAGCCATGCCATGCGGATCCACAAGTCCCTTTGGGAGGTGGGCACCAGGGTGGCATCTTCCGCATGTCCTTACCGCTGCTGGAAGTCACTGTCAGCCATCGCCTGTTCTCTCCAGAGGGTGAAAGTCCAGCCCCTGAAAAAACTTGTGGAGATCCTGCCTTCCCTACCTACAGGCCTCAGACTAGGAGGATCAGCTCTGAGTGGCTGCAGGTGGAAGGCCCTGGGTAGGGCGGGGACATCCATAGGAGAGAGGAGACAGGTGTGGGACTCTCCCTTGCCACACCTGCTCCCCGTACCACGAGACCTGCACTGTCCCCCCACCGCCGTGGGTTCTGTGACACCCCTGAGCCTTCTCCTGCCCTGATGCAGCCTCCACTGTCCTCCAGCACTTCCCCGCTGTTGACAGACCACTTAGTTATTTTGCTCTGTCTGCCCTCTCTAGCCAGAGTCTGGGCGTTGGGGGAGAACGGGGATCCTGGTGACAGCTGCCAAAGGACACAGAGAGGATGGCAGCTCAGAACCTGTAACAGTCAGCTGGGTGTGGTGGCTCATGCCTGTAATCCCAGCACGGTGGGAGGCTGGGACAGGCGGATCACTTGAGGCCAGGAGTTCGAGACCAGCCTGGCCAACATGGAGAAACCCTGTCTCTACTAAAAGTTAGCCAGGTGTGATGGCGAGCACCTGTAATCCCAGCTACTCGGGAGCCTGAGGCAAGAGAATCGCTTGAACCTGGGAGATGGAGGTTGCAGTGGGTTGAGATTGCACCACTATGCTCCAGTGTTGGTGAGAGCCAGAATTCCCCCCCATCAAAAAAAAAAAAAAAAAAATCCATAAAAGTCAAAGTGGACCAGGCGCCGTTGTTCACGACTATAATCCCAGCATTTCGGGAGGCGGAGGCGGGTCGATCACTTGAGGTCAGGAGTTTGAGACCAGCCTGGCCAACATGGTGACGCCCCGTCTCTAATAAAAATACAAAAAATTAGCCTAGCCTGGTGGCTCATGTCTGTGATCCCCACTCCTCGGGAGGCTGAGGCAGGACTGCTTGAACTCGGGAGGCAGAGGGCACAGTGAGCCGAGATCAAGACTCTGACTCAAAAAAAAAAAAAAAGTCAAAGTGGGTGGAAACAGAAGTGGGTATACCCGGTCACAGCTGCAGGCCCGGTTCTCCCTCCTGTGGGTCTGAACACCTTTGCCAGTGCGAAGGTGAAGTCACCTAACGGCCTCTCCCCACCTCCCCCGACAGCTACTGTAAACTGGAGACCCTCTTCAGCATCTACGTGTACGGGGCATTCCCGATACCACTGGGGTTTGCCGGGGTCATCATCCTGCTGCTCATCTCCAGCATGCTGGGGTCCGTGTGGGTGGCCTACAAGATCCCCAAGCTGCTGCCCACAAGACGAGTCCACAGGATCAGGAGGTTTGTGGTCCAGCTGTGCGGGAGATGCAAGACGGCCTGCAGGTGTTTTCAGTTCCGTGCCTCATCCACATCCGGGATGGGCACAGAGCCCCCAGGACACCACCCCACTCCTCAGGGAGGCAGGGCTGACCACTGAGGCTGGTCCACAGCGTCCTGACCCCTCGTCTTTAAATAAAGTTTAGTGTAACCCCACAGGAAGCAGTGTGTGCTCACCATTTTTTTTTTAATTTGGTTTTTTGGTGTTGGGGGTCTTGCTGTGTTGCCCAGGCTGGGAGTGCGGTGGTATGATCACAGCTCACTGCAGCCTCCAACTCCCAGGCTTAAGCAATCCTCCCTCCTCAGCCTCCTAAGTAGCTGGGATCACAGGAACCACCACCACATCTGTCTAACTTTACTTTTAGTTTTTGTAGAGATAGGGTCTCACTTTGTTGCCCAAGCTGGTCTCGAACTCCTGGGCTCAAGCGATCCTCCCGCCTCGGCCTCTCAAAGTGCTAGGATTACCAGTGGGCCGCTGTACCAGGGTTAGTCGTCTTTTTTTTTTTTTTTTTTTTTTGAGACTGTTTCTATCACCCATGCTGAAGTGCAGTGACACAATCTTGGCTCACTGCAGCCTCCACCTTCTAGGTTCAGGCAACTCTCCTGCCTCAGCCTCCTGAGTAGCTGGGATCACAGGTGCCTGCCACCACACCCAGCTAATTTTTGCGTTTTTGGTAGACACTGGTTTTCACCATGTTGGCCAGGCTGGTCTCAAACTCCTGACCTCAAGAGATTCACCTGCCTTGGCCTCCCAAAGTGCTGGGATTACAGGCGTGAGCCACCATGCCCGCCCAGCCCCCCACCCTTTTTTTTGAGATAGAGTCTTGCTCCGTTGTCTAGGCTGGAGTGCTAGTGTGTCATCTTGGTTCACTGCAACCTCTGCCTCCTGGGCTCAAGTGATCCTCCCACCTCAGCCTCCCGAGTAGCTGGGACTACAAGTTCACACCGCCATGCCTGGGTACTTTTTTTTTTTTTTTTTTTTTTGGTAGAGACGGGGTTTTGACATATTGCCCAGGCTGATCTCAAACTCCTGGGCTCAAGCGATCCTCCTGCCTCAGCCTCCCAAAGTGCTGGGATTCCCAGTGAGCCACTGCACCTGGGTCAGCCATCTCATTTTAAATGAAAATTTAGTCAGTCTCACGACTTCTGAATACTCTTTAAAGTGTGTGTGTGTGTGTGTGTGTGTGTGTGTGTGTGTGTGTGTGTTACGTGGTCATTTTAAATCACCCAACACAGCTACAAGAGACTGGGGCAGGGGAATTGCTTGAGGCCAGGAGTTCAAGATCAGCCTGGGCAACATGGCAAGAACCCAATTTTTTTTTAAACATTAGCTGAGTGTGGTGGAGTATGCCTGTAGTCCCAGCTACTTGCGAGGCTGAGGTGGGAGGATCGCTTGAGCCCGGGAGATGGAGGCTGCAGTGAGCCATGATCATGCTACTGTACTCCAGCCTGGGTGATGGAGCAAGACCCTGTCTCAGAAAAAAAAGAAAGTTGCTGCTTGGGTCCTTGCAGACATCCACTTTGTGACCCTCTCTCCACATTAAGCTTCAAGCAAAGTGATCCCAGGCCCTTGCCCCACCTCCTCACCAGCCAGGCCTCCCCTTCACTGAGACACCTGGTGTTAGTTTCAGAGACACCTTTAATGAGGCTGTGGGGAGAAGGCGTTGGAAGGCAGCTAAGAAAAGTGGACTTGGAGCCGGGCGCAGTGGCCTGTAATCCCAGCACTTTGGGAGGCCGAGGCAGGTGGATCACCTGAGGTCAGGAGTTTGAGACCAGCCTGACCAACATGGTGAATCCTCATCTCTACTAAAAATACAAAAAATTAGCTAGGTGTGGTGGTGGGCGCCTGTAATCTCAGCTACTCTGGAGCCTGAGACAGGAGAATCGCTTGAACTCAAGAGGCGGAGGTTGCAGTGAGCTGAGATCGCACCACTGCACTCCAGCCTGGGCGACAGAGCCAGACTCCTTCCCAAAAAAAAAAAAAACAAACAAACAAAACAAAACAGAAAATTTGGCTCAAAGCGTCTCCCAGACTGTCCCCGTGGATGAAACAGGGATAAATGGGGATCCCTGCAGGGGCCAGGAGGGCACATGGCACAGGCCCTGGGACAGAGGGAAACTGCAGCTGCATGGTCCCAAGACACCATGTCTGCCTGAGGTTTGGTCTTAGAGATGGAGTCTCTGGCTGGGCGCGGTGGCTCATGCCTGTAATCCTAGCACTTTGGGAGGCCGAGGTGGGTGGATCACCTGAGGTTAAGAGTTCAAGACCAGCCTGACCAACATGGTGAAACTCCGTCTTTATTTAAAAAAAAAAAAGATGGAGTCTCACCCTGTCACTCAGGCTGTAGTGCAGTGGTGTGATCTTGGCTCACTACAACCTACACCTCCCCAGCTCAAGCAATTCTCATGCCTCAACCTCCTGAGTAGCTAGGATTATAGGCGCCCACCACCACACCCGGGTAATTTTTGTATTTTTAGTAGAGACGGTGTTTCACTGTTTTGGCCTAGCCGGTCTCGAACTCCTGACCTAAAGTGATCTGCTCGCCTTGGCCTCCCAAAGTGCTGGGATTACAAGCATTTGCCCACGCACACAGCCTCCTCTTGAGTTTTGAATAACAGTTTCCAAGGGAGGAGCTCCAGAAAGCAGAAGGCACAGTGCCCAGCACAGAGGGGGAACTATGATCTCTGCTCTGCCTCCAAATACCCACCAGCCTCCTGGACTCTAGGTGAGCCCCCCAGGGGCTCCCCCAGCAGAGACCTTGAAACCCAGACTCCAGAGACCCAGGAGATCCAGCCCTCCGCCTGGGGAAGGCGCAGGCAGAAGGGTCCCAGCCCAGAGGGGTATCCTCACTCCAGGAGGCACTGGATGGCTCTGGTCCTCCTGTTTCCTTACGTGTCCCTAGGGGAATGGGGTTGGCATCTCCAGGGCCACCATGAGCATTTCAGGGGAGGAGGGTACAGGTGGCCCCCAGGAGGGCCCTCGAGACCCTGATGTGGGTGAGTGATGAAGGGAACCAGCACCCGGGGGTCCTCTTCCAAGGCCGGGCCTGTCTCATTATGGAACCAGTGGCTGGGCTGTCCCTCCCACCCTGGACCCTGCAGTGTGACTGGCCCAGTAGGGCCCCTGACCCTCTCCTGGGTTCTGGGTGCTGTTTCACGTCACCATCGTGGGTGGAGGTTTCCAGGTTCCCCAGGTGCTGCATGCACCCCGCTCTTTCAGACGTGAGCATGGTTTCCCCACCCCCGCTCCTTCACACGTGAGCATCTGCTCCCACCCTCAGACCATCCAATGAAGCCCCCTGCACCCACCTGTCTGAACAAGAGCCTGGCCCTTCCCGCCCTCCCTGCAGTGACTGTGGCTTCTTGGGGACAGGAGGAGCCTGGGTGGGGATCTGGAGGCTGCTTCTCAAGCGCTGCCTTGACAGCTGTGTCTCCAAGGAAGTTCCTGCCCCTCTCTGGGCAGCCTTGCTTTTCCCCACCAAACAAGGGTGTGAAAATCCTTAGAACGTGTGAAGCTGGGGAGCAGCTCAGGAGGCCCCTGCCTCTGCCGGCAGAGTCTGATCTTCCAGGGCTGGGACTCAAGGGGTTTAGGGTGTCCTGTGATTCCAGGGCTCCCCTGCTAGGCTCTGGAGGCCTCACTGTGAGGCCTGGGGTGCAGCCTCGCCAGTCCTCAGGATGATGGGGTGAGGGGCCAGGCGTGCATGTCCAGGCCCCTCTGCATCCCCAAGGCTACCGCATGGACACGGAGCTGAAAGGTGAAATGTGCTTTAATGGGGGGTGGCTCCCAGGTCCTGCCTGGGCCCCGGGGGAGTGGCGCTGGCTGGGCCTGCGGGCTGGCTGGCCTTCCCTCCCGGTTTTCCCTTCTTGGCTGTTGAGGCCTTTCTCTTGCTGGGCAGAATGGGGGCCGAGTCATTGGCGACAGGGGGCCCCGGGCGGGGCGGCTGCTCCTCGTCCAGCGCCTTGAAGTTGAAGAGGTCAACACTGGACACGGTGTCCAGGATCTCAGGCACGCTGTAGTCGAAGGACAGCAGGTCCTCAGGCAGACGCAGCGAGTGGATGTCGTCGGCCGGGTTCCTGCCACCGCCGTCAGGCAGGGCCAGCCCGGGGACCTTGCGTGGGGCCCTCTTGGGCTCGGTGGCGCCCGGCAGGCAGTCGAAGAGCTTCATGGCGTCCTCCAGCAGAACCATGTCTGGGAGTGCCTTGGCCTCGCCCGCCCCCAGCAGGGCCCTCTCCTTGGCCTTGGCCACCTTGGGCTCACTGGAGCCGGGTGGGCACAGCAGCACCCGGGGCCCGGCCCCACTGCCCTGCGGCTCCTTGGTGGGGAAGGCCAGGGGCTCGGGCCCAGGGAAGTGGCCAGGGTGGCCCTGGAGGCGGCTGTAGGTGTCCAGGGGCAGCGTGGACTCTGCAGGCAGCGGGATGAGTACAGGGGGTGGCTTGTTCTCCTTGGGGGGTGGGGCTGGCGGCGGGGCCAGGCCTTCCTCGAGTGGCGGCAGGGGCAGCTCCATGAAGGCGGTGGGCCCCGAGTCCCCCGCAAAGCCCAGAGCCTCTGGCCCAGGGCCCTCAGGCGGGAAGTAGGGCAGGAGGAACTGGGGCCCCCCGGGCACCGGCTGGTAGTGGGGGTATGGGGGCCGCCCCGGGGCCTTGAGGTAGGGCTGCGGCTCCAGGAGGTAGCTGCCTGGGGTGGAAGGGCCCCCCGCTGGCCCCCCACCACTCGCCGCCAGCTTGTACAGGGCCGACTGGCCCAGGTCGGGGGTGGTCCACTCGATCCGATAGATGCGGGGGTCGAAAAAGCACCCACATGGGGCCATCTGGAAACCTGTGGGTGGCGGGCGGGTGCCCTGAGAGCAGCTGCCGCCTGGGGGGCCCAGCCCAAGCCTGGGGGCCTGTCTGGGGGATGCCACGAGAACGTTGCCTTTGGGGAGCTCCTTTGGGGGATGGGAGACAGGTATCACTTTGGGGCCCTGGCTGGGTGATGGGGATACAGTTTGTCTTTGGGGCTCACTGGGGGACCTGTGTGAAGCGTGGGGAGCAGAGGCCATGCCTTTGGGCCCCCACCTAGGGGTGAGGCAGGGGCAAGCTGGGCCCCCAACACCCAAACCCACTCCCAGCCTCGTCAAGGGTACAGGGGAGGCTGGTACCTGCTGGAGGGGCCGGCAACACCT